TAACTACTATATACTATAATATAACTATGCTAATAACTAATAATAAATATAATATAAAATACAATAATAAATATATAGCAACTACTAATAATATAATATATTATGCTATGCTAAAAATCTACTTTGTAACAGTATCAAAACTTCCAACAAAGAGAAGATTATCCTTTTCTAGTTTGGAACACTAATGAACACATGCTAACAGAGGTTAATACTCTGGCTCCCCAGGTTGAATCTGGTAATAATATAATCGAAATGGATAAAGAAGATAAGGCACCTGGTCCAAGATCAGGTGATAACTTGGTCAAAATGGATGAAAACGATGAAGTATTTGATCTGAAAATTCGCCAGTCCTGTAAACAAAAAGTTGAAGCTATAAGACATATAGCAGATCACCTTGAGCAAGAACTTGCTGCAAATAATTTCAACCATATTATCTGTATAACTAATAATATGGATAGGCTATTCACAATGTTGAATGATATTGAGATAGCACAAAATAGAAGAAGGCATAATCCAATATAGCAAGGATCAACTCCATAGACATTATATTTACAATAAAAAATTCAAAATATATAATTTGTCAGGGAATACAAATTATAAAAAAATATGTGTAAATTTTAAAAATTTATTACCTGTATCAGTATGATAGTATTAATTTTTATAATTAGTTACTATTCAAAAAAAATAAAATAAATTTAATAAAGTGTAAAGTTTCAAAATAAAACAAATGAAACAAATTAAAAATTTATAATCTAAAGCATTCTCTTAAATTTTACATTATCTGCAATTATAAAGAAGTTCAGTTACTCAAATAAAAAGTATAAAAAGTTTCAATTAGAATAAAACAAAAACCTTATCTCATTTGAAGTATTTCGACATGATTTGTATAATAAACTTTTAAGTTTCGCAATTCATAAATGAAAATTTTTGTATAAAGCTGTAAAATCTAGAAATAATAAAACAGTAAAGGCATAAACTTGTAAGCATATATAAATTAACTTATTTTGTATAATAAATTTTACATTATCTGCAATTATAAAGAAGTTCATTACTTATAAATAAAAAGTATAAAAGTTTCAATTTAGATATAAAACAAAAATAAAACTCATCTTATTCGAAGTATTTCTACGCATTTTGTATAAAAAACCTTCATGAATAAATTTTTATAATAAAAGCTGTAAAATCTAGAAATAATAAAACAGTAAAGGCATAAAATTGTAATTATTTTGAAAAATATGTAACATAGCCTGCGATTACAAAAAGGACCCCTAGAATAGTATCCTATCAAATCAAAATCTTGTTATAGTCTTTTAATATTATTAGATTCCTGTAATTGCCTTTGTTCAATACATTTTTAAGAATCACTCTAAGTACTTCGGTTTGGATTTTAGTCCTCTCCTTACCTGAAATCTCTTGGGTACAAATTTAAGTTAACATGGTTTTTTGATTTGTACTATGTGTATTGTTAGAGCACTTTAATGCTAAAGAAAGAATATGAATTAAAGAATAGTTCTTGTGAAAAAAAAAAAGCAAGTAACAGAGTAATGATTGGCAGTGATGGGCACCTATTTCAGGATTAGGTCGGAGCTTCAGATTGCATGTAATCTGAAAAATCTCACCTACATCCTGGATCTGTTTAACACACCTGCTTGAATGTTCCACTTTAAACCCTTTGAACCTGTAATCTGTGTTAATATCACTGGTCATCTCAGATGTACCAGATCATCATCCTCAACTTTAGGACTAATTTATCCTCGAGGTAAACCTCCCAGAGC